GTCGGGGACGAGCAAGAGAATCGTAAATTGCCGCTTCGTCGCGCGCGGCAATGGGCGCGACGTTTCCTTAATTTGCACTACCCTTTCGATTGGAGCATCGGATTTCATGTAGACAAGGACATGGTAGACACTTATGTCTATTTTTGGTCATACATTGTCTATTCTCGACCAATACCACCTAAAATCGTCGTCATTAGCGGGCGCGACGTCCACTGACGCGGCGAATTACGATTCACTTGCCACATACCCTGCGACCTCTAAAACCCATTGAGCGTGTGGGGGGTGGGGGGTTAAGGGGAGGAGGCGAGAGGAGGAAGTCGTCCTTGACTATCAGAAACTATCAAAATAGTAAATTTGGGACCCCATCCGCCAACAAGGTCGATTCTAATACGCTACACTTCCAAGCCAACAGAAAGCATGGATTGAATTGTACATATGATATTCATGTGTCAACAAAGACTTGGAGCAACTCTGTAGCAGGCATTTTTCAGTCAGGTACCGTAATCCTTTTCGAGTGTATTTTTGTGCTAGTCCCGCTGTACTACTCCATGGTTGCTGCCAAATGGATCAAGAGTACTTCTAGTGAGTACTGTTGCTGAAACTCTGTACGGGGACATCGATACATTTTGTTGCATATTTATTTCCAGAGGCGGTTAATGTACTGTCAACTGTGAAATCACCGAAAAAGCTCAGCGAAGGACGTATTAAGAAACTTCAAATTGACCATGGTCAATCGGTGTCGTCGTTTACACCGGCCGAGGTGGAAATGAAGGTCAAAGCACGAAGGGTTAGCACATCACGTTACCTTCTAGCAACTAGATTCTCAGAATGTCTTATCAATCATTTCAGCATGAACTCGGCGACTCCAATATTCAACTCTCCAGCAGGGATTCCACCTCCGTCAAAATGTGACTGATGCACCTGAAAATCGTTATTTATCGGTATTTTCACTTTGTCTAACCACGACACCATCTTAAAAGTCTAATGTTCTTTTCAACAATGACAAAGTGAAAGTGCGGGTTGATAACTAGTAATAATGAGAAAATGAAGAATTTTGAAACAAATCCCGTCTTTGCTCACGTAGTTGCTGTGAGAATAATGGTAGTGCGGAAACAATACCCATATGTCTTTCTGTGCGCATCCTTGAAGCAGCGCCATCCCTTCCGCCGGGGTCTTGACTCTAGTGAGGTGCTTCATAATGACTACTCCACCGTAGCTTGTCCAGGATATCGAAAGCCCATTGTTTCAACAGCTGGACAGGGGCATCTCGGCATTTAGTCTCTATTACCCTCGTACTTGGCCCTGCCCTACAGCATTCAACGAGGTTATTAGGTTTGAGAAGAGACCTCCACACTGAACAACTTGAAAGAGTGTAGAATACTGGGTGTGCGTTACCTGATTACACAATCTGGTACATACCAGTTCCTCTAGACACTCTCAAAACACTAGCGACCGGCGCCGATCGATATCCGTCTATGGCTGGTCGGCTCCCCTCTATAGCATTGGAGCGCGGTTGCAATGCTCGTTGCCTGCTCGCGTACAGGGGCTCATCACTAAGTCTGCACACGATGCCTTTGCTGTGGTGTCGAGGGAACAGAGGCCTAATGGGTTTTCCCATTGTGTTCTCGCGTAGTATGCACGGAAATCACCACAAAGGCACATGGCCCGATAATTTGGTACTCGGTTCAAAATGCTAGCAAAGTGCTATGTAGCGGGGAAATGGCGAAAAAACGAAGCGAAATGGTATAAAACTTGCGAAAGTTACCCTTCATCCTACTAATATAATCGCGCTGTGTGTGTGTGTGTGTTGTGTGTGTGTGTGTGTGTGTGTGTGTGTGTGTCACGAAATTCATAGCGAGCGTCGCAGAAAAGATAGGATGACAGTTCCAAGAAGTGATATACATGGCAGGACGGGAACACTTTTGGTGGGTGTCAGGAGGTGATAACACTTGATAAGATACGATAAGGGGCCGTAGAAGGGGGAGGGTGACTGAATTCGTAGCGCAAGTTGCAGCAGGTGTGGGACCGTGATTTCAAGGAGTGATATACATGGCAGGACGGGAACGGTGCGTGACAGGAGGTGATAACACTTGATAAGATTCGATAAGGGGCCTTAAAAGGGGAGGGTGACCGAATTCGTGGCAAGTTGCAGCAACGGCGGGACCATGATTTCAAGTACTGATATGCCGTAGGGTGGGGCTGGCAGAAGCTGATAACAGTTGATAAGATCCGATAAGGGGCCTCGGAAGAGGAGGGTCATCAAATTCGTGGCGCAACAGCAACAGTGGGAACTCAGATCCGTGAGGTGATATAGGGTGTGGGACGGGAACATTATTGGCGGGCGACAGAAAGTGATAACAGTTGATAAGATACGGTAAGCGGCCTCGGAAGGGGAGGGTCATCAGATTCGTAACGCAGGTTACAGCAACAGTGGGACCTCTGATCCGAGAGGCGATACAGGGTGATATGATAGTGATACGGGACGGGAGTGTTATTGCGGGTACGGAAGTGATAGGAGCTAAAATTGACAAGGTAGCATGGGAAAATCCGCTTCACCGCTCACAACAACAATGCGATCGATATGACTCAAGTATAACGATCTCAGTGATTCCAACAGAACTCATTCCTCACTGCTTATTAGTAACGACGTCGTGTACGACCGCTAAGCCAGCTCTATTCCAAATGCATGTGGTTTGTTTACAGAGATGTTATGAACAGCAGCAACTGACTTTATCACTCTTACCACAATTATCTTCCATCAGCAACTTCAGTGAGGGCCATTTAAAGGGTTCCACTGCTGAATGCGGTAGTGCATTCCAAAGCAAGACGCTTTAGGAAGACAGATTGCATAAATTATAGGCTGCTTCAGTGGCTGTCCAAACAGGCTGCACTATTTCCGTGTAGGTTATGAACGTACCAGTCGGATCGCTGGCTAAGGCCGGCTTTCCTCCTGTGATGCGGGGGGGGGGGGGGGGCGCTGCTGCGTGCTTCTGACAACAAGCGCTGCTTTTCGTGCTTGGCTGATGCACGAAGATTTCCTTTGACAAAGTGCAGGTTGGTCAGTCGATTCCTTAACCTTAGCATGCGGCCAAATCCATGTCAGCAGAAGGAGGAGGCCGGCCCGGCGAACAGCCGGGGCGATCGCTGTTTTTCATCGACTCAGAAAGCCGCGCGGCGCAATTTTGTTTTTTTTCGATGTCTCCCGCAGGCATCGTGCCATTAACGAGCTGTACGATGGAAGCGGCTGCACGTATGGTAAATGAAGGTGCGCCAGGTACGGTGGCATTCCATTTCTGGGCGGGCGGGCGCGGTGGGGCTTCGGGTCGATATGTTGCAGGCTTTTTGTGGAACCGCCACAAGGTATCTCCCTTGGAAAAAGAGCTACGCAGCGCCTGCTCGGGGGCACGGAATTCCGTCTTGCCGGGCGTATTAATCCTACTCGTCTCAAGAATCTATCGTATCAACTGCCTTTGAAGGCAACGCAAGCGATAAGGAGTGTAGAGAGCGATATTGAAATATGGAAGAAGTTGCCAAGTGACTTGTCTGTGATAAAACTGTCAAAAGAAACGTCGGAAATGCCTTCAATAGGACGACTCCAGCCCTCATGCAGTTGTGCGATTAAACCGGCGAGAGACTGCGTCTTCGACGAGTCCAGGTCGATTTCTTGTAATGAAGGCCCGGAGACCCATAGGAACGTAAAGGCATCCATCTATGCTTCCTGTCCGCTGCGGTTCTGGAAGGCGGGACTTTAAGGTGCAGGCCGGAGGCGGAGTCAGTGGAAAAATGAGGTGACACCGAACACTTTCCATCTAACCCCCTTCACCTTACGACTTTCCCCCGCGAAATTAACACAAGGTTGTCCATTGCGGACCACACTAAATTCACACACGATCTTTTGAAGTTTCATAGGTCATCGCAGACCGTTCCTTCGAGAAGTAATTGAAGGACATAAATGTGAAAAAAGCAGTTCGTAGCGGTGACTGGAAAAAAATGGTGGTGTAGAACAGTAGTAGAACAGGAACCAGGGGAGAAATCACATGGAAGAGAAGTGATAAGTAGAATAGAGGGCAGGTATAGTATAAAAATGAAAACCATACCAGCAGAGCTATCCGAGTATAGGTCCGCAGTCCCTATCACTTCTCTTCCATGTGATTTCTTCCCTACTTCCTGTTCTACTACTATCTGTAGGACATGCTACGGCATCGTATAACACCCAATGACGCGTGAACGACGAGGAATTTATACGTCTCATGGCATACATCCTATCTGCGCCATCTTTTCGATTCTCTCGCATGTTCATCGTTCAGCTCTCCAAAAAAAATGAGAACTTTCGCTTATATAGTCCTCATCATTACGTGACGACGGTTCAGTGGGCTGCGTTTGGGCGCGGGTGGCCAAACCCGCATCCTCACGCAGTATTTAAGCAAATGATATGACTGTATTATATCCTCCGTATTACTCGTTTTCTACCACTTTTTGTCGCATACGCGTTTCAGCAAAAAGGCTGAGAACGGCTTCAACAGTGTGCAACTCAATAGGGACTGACAGACCGCGCCCACCAGTCCGCAATGATGAGAACTGTACATAACAAGGAATGGGGTCGTTTTACGCATGTCATCTAGCTAGTCGCTTTTCAAAACGGTTTACCACGTGGTGCGTTCATGAAACATGAACGGACCACAGAAGAGAGGTTCATTTTTACCAGCGCGTTTTGGAATGCTAAAAGAAAACGGCTATTATGATGACAAGACTATGCCTTTAAAGAACTTTTGCTCCCTTATCTGCTAGCGCGCATACCTGAAACGCTTGTCTGAAAAAAGCCTTCTCCAAAAACCCCCAAATATTTTGTCCAAAAAGCTGAAAGCTTTCTGTCAGTGAATTGGTCATCGCTTCGCTGGGCTTCTTATAATCCCTCCTTGAAGATCCTCAGAAGCCGCTGGAAAACGAAGCACTCGTCCCCAGGCAGATAACCCGCAGTAAGGTAAATGCGAGTTCAACGAGTATATTATGCGCCTGGCAGAAGGGAATTCCGCACTTCGAAGCAGGCGCTGCGTAGCGCCTTTTTCTAGTAAGGAACCTTTATAAGCCTATCAAGCTGCAACATATACCGGACGCCTGCAACTGTCCGAAGCCGGAGTTCTTGTGGCTCGCATCGCTTCATTTGCGAAGTAAAATGTGAAGCGAAGGGATATGAAGCGGCTGCGGTCTGCATGGATATATGGGTACATGCGTGCAGCCATACCTACCGTAGCTGTTCTCGGCAAGGTGCCAACGGGAAGCTCGATCAAAATTGCTTTTTGAGTCTAAAAAAACAAGGCTTTTCTTCGAGCTCGGATGTGAATAAACAAATTCCTTCATGGAGACGTGCAAGGCGCATTCTGTGAAAAGTGGTACCCACCCTCTAATTTCTCCCGTGACGTTTCACATCGAAGACGTGCAAGACGCATTCTGTGAAAAGTGGTCTACCCATCCTCTAGCTTCTCCCGTGACGTTGGTGACGCCTCATAAGACGCGGAATGTTCGAATACATAACGAGCTGGACTGCAAACCTGATTGAATATTATGCACTAGCCCCTTCTAAGGCTCCTCGTGGTATCCATCAGCTGTTATCACTGCCTGCCACCCACCACTACCTTACTACTTGGTCCAACGTCCCGTGCTGCTTGGTCGGTTCTATGAATCAGGTGACGCCACTCCTTCTGAGAGCTTGCTCCTTATGGTATCTTATCAGCTGTTATCACTTCCTGCCACCCACCAATAATGTTGCCATTCCGCCCCCTCTTTCACTTCTTGGAACCAACATTCTAGCCTTACGGTGACGCGCGTTGTAAATTTGCTGACCTTGCCCTTATAAGGCTGCTTATCAGCTCCCATCAATTGCTATCACTTCCTGCCACCACCAATAGTATTCTTGCTCGACTCCCTACATCACCCATCAGTTTGAGCGCTCTATAGCTGTTTTGAAGGAAGTTATGAATTTCCGGTCAAGACACATACATACACAAACACACATCCCAAACCCAGAAAAAAAACCAACCTTAGGCGGATTATGTATAGTAGGATACTTGCTGCTGCACAATCTTCGGAGAGGCGTCACGATCATATCAAAGCTGATTTTTATCGTTCATCTCGTCTTGCTGAGATAAAGCAAAGCGAAGCCATTTTGTCATTCCCAAGAACCATGAGCGGCTTCGAAGGTGGGTCGAGCTCGTGAGGTCGAGGCAGTTGATTTTGACAAGTCGAATACTCCTCCAGATCAGCATTCCATTCCAGGTATGGGTGAATATGGCACAGAAGCGTGGTTCGAATTCACCTTTGAAGATATTGTTCCATGGTGGAGAATAGGACTACCAAGTAATCTTCATTTAATACCAATTCCACAGAATACGAACTATGGGCGGGGGGCGAGTGGTTTTACAGGTAAGACTGCATTTCTGGAGCTGTTCAAGTTGATGATCAATAGGGATGAGAATTTTTGGCATTAACCTAAGGGAAAGGGACGTGTAGATCTAGCAGTATATCACGCACACTACGCCCAAACCAGTTAGTTCGCGCATTCTTACGGAAAAGAGAACGGGGTAGACTAGCACTATTGCGCAAAACAAGTTATTTCCGCAATTCTTGCGAAAATAAAGTGGAAACCAAAAGTGTCGTCAAATTTCTTTCCTTGAACTGCCGTAAGCAAAGAAAGTGCTTTTCGGGGGCTCAGCGCCTTGACGAGAACTCCAGCAATCGAGAATTCACCAGAACATGCATTCCTTTCACCGTGAGCCAGCGAACAAAGCAGGAAATTTGACAGTAATCGCTGTCGGTCTTTGCGACAGTTCCTTGTGCTTTTTTACTGACAGGTCACCTACCACCTTCACATTCGTGCTTGAATCCTACTACATACGATTTTTAGTCGCGAAATGCACCTTTGAACACTTTGACAAAAATTCATTCACCAAAAATAGAATCCTACTATATATAATCCGCTAAGTTTGTCTGTTGGTGTGTGTGTGTGTGTATGTTTGTGTGTCTGTATGTGTGTTGACCGGAAATTCATAACTTCCTTTGAATTAGCCGCAGAGACTTCAAACTGATAAGTGATGTAGGGGTCGGGCAGGAACACTATTGGTAGGTGGCAGGAAGTGATAAGAGCTGATAAGATACCATAAGGGGTCTTAGAAAGGGAGGGTCACCAAATTCATAACGCGCGTGACAGTAGCGGCAGAACGTTGGTTCTAAGAAGCAAGACAGGGAGCAGGATGGGAACATCATTGGTAGGTGGCAGGAGGTGATGAGAGCCAAGAAGATACCATAATATCCTGTTTCAAGAGGGTGCCTCCGAAGTTCACAGCACGAGTTATAGCAACACTGGGGAACTGCTTCCAGCAAGTCATTCAGAAGTGGTTAAGGAACATTGGTGAAGGGAGATAAGTTGTGATATAGTTTGAGAAAAGGGCTCATAAGGGTCAGTATCTGTTCGCATCCTTACTCTGCTTGCGACTGAACTTGACCACCGTGGCTCAAGATCAGTGGGCAAAGGCTTAGTGGTCTAGCGATGTAGTCGGAATTGATTCGACCACTATTCTCGAGTTTCGACAGAAAGCAGAAGCCCTGAAAGCTGCTTAACGAAAGTACTAGCGATGTGAGGATATTTCACTATGATGTCGATATTATTACCATCGAAACTCTTTCAACCGCTGAGCTGTCCTATTTCCAACGAATGGTGAGTTTTTAGAAATGTGATAAGCACCAGACATTGGCAAATGTTCATTAAAGAGGAGAAATATGATGAAATGGGTCGTATTTCAAAACATAGGAATCAGGCCAAATATTGGGGGATGGTACCCTGTCAGTGATCACTACCATAGATTCAACCATGCGCGCAGTATGCGCGTCAGCCAAGCTGGTAAACAATCATGTAAAATCTACGAGGGTTTCAAGCGAGCCATCCATACGCTTATGAATGGAATCTCGCTATTCCCGCTCTCACAACTAGACCTAGCTCCGACGGCTTAGGCCTTAATTTTCTCGATCTTTATCATGGTTTCGATAGCCTGTATACTCAAAATCCCTGAGATAGGGTGGGCGTGGCTGCTTGCCTCAACTGAACCTAAGGTGGCTCTGCTTCTGTTGAGATATTTCATCTTGACACAATTGTGGTCCTGTCCCTGTCCAAAATAGAACAAGGTGGCACTTGTAAAATAAAAACGTAGGATAAATTGCCTGCGACATTATGCCCCAGCAGATGCTACTAGAAACAAAGTACAGCATCGTGATAGGTTAAATGGTAGTGTAGGTACCCTCCCCCACCTGAATGAGGGTCTCGGTACGACCCCCCCCCCCTTCTCCAGCACCTACCTACCAATTTCCCACATTTTCCAGTTTTCACCCGAAGATTTTCCGTCGAGCGGGGGCGAGGGGGGCGGTATGTAGTATACATGAAACAAGCAAAATCACGAAAAATTGCGAAAAGTCGACACGGGAAAAAAATTTTTCCATCAGCAAGTTTCTCTCAAACGCACATACGACCCCCTCTCTCCCAACAACCAGAATACGACCCCTCCCCTCCCCAGCCTAAAAGTACGACCCCCTTACGTGTTTCACAAAACGATGCTGTACCTTGACTAGAAACCCGTGTGACACGCCGACTCAGTGCTTTTATCACGAGAATCGTGAGAATTCATATCTGAAGCCCGAGTCAACAGGTATATACTTACCAGGGTACTGGCGGCAAAAACCCACACTCTGGGGCACTATTCACTGGCGAAACGCGCAGTGAAATAGGCGCTGCATTCTGGGGGAAGGGGGTGGGGACACATCACTCCTGTGGAAAGGGAGTAATCAACAATCAGGATTTTTTTAATCAGACGAATACGATTTCCCTGTCCTTGGTGACCAAATACAAGACTGCTCGACATACGCTTGATCCCGACTATGGCATCAACATGGTAAGGATGCATTTCGCCATAAGCGGATCGGCTGAGAAACCGATAGAGACGTACTACCACTGTACCTTCTACTTTGACGCGTACTCCTTCCAACGGTAAGAAGAGAGATGCACTTCAATGGGACAGGTCCAACAGCTGTGAATCTCCGCCCATAAGCTTATCACAGAATGCGTCTTTGGACTACTGATTAGATGAAGAGGCACTTTAACCAGTTTGTGGATATACGAGTACCTGCTCTTCCGAAGCTCGTCTTACCAAAACTTCATTTCTTTCGAGAATGATGAGGTAGGCTGCAAAGATTAGCTTAGGTAGTGAAGATTACTTTTCAGTCAACATGGCTGCTGCCGTGATGGTGCTATGCGGCTTTTTGTATGTGCTACTACACCGGAAGGTTCAAGTGGAAGAAACTGTCGCTACTAGGGTAAGCGTCAAAGACCGTAACTGGACCGCTGTCTTGATAGATAGTTCAAATTGTGTACCATTTAGCGGATAGACATTGTTGAAACCGTAAAATGGCACTTGGAAGAGGAACTCAAAAAGGAAGCAAAGAAGTTTTTGCAAAGAGAAGAACTGAGGCACATAAGGAGAAGAGAAAAGGTTTTCTTCCCCAGAAAACGTGGGGAAAACTGTGCTAACATCGATTGATGATTTTGCAGGCAACGATGTCCATGACACATTCCGAGTCTGAAAAACGAAAACAGGACAAGGAAAAGTCTCCGAAGGTAACGAAAAATTATGAGCTCCACTACTGGAGGGGCACATAGGACGCTGGACAGGCCTTGGTCGTCAGCACTCATCTAAGGCTGAGCCAACAGACTGAAAGGGATCACTATGGGCATGAAAGGGCATGGTCTGAGTTCGAAAGGAGAGATGTTTAATCGAACTGTCCTTTTGCATTACAGTGGGTGATTCCAAATCCGCCACTGAACCTTCATGATCCGTGCAAATCATAGAGCGTGTGACAGGACGCCGGCTGAAGCGCAGTCATGGCAGCTTTTTCCACCAATGATACTATCTTGAGTCCACAACAATTGGCGAAGGCTGTTGTGGCTGCGCTTCCACTCATGTCCCTTGTCGCGCCCTATCGTTTGTATTAGGTTGTCCGGAAAGTTCTCAGCGTTTTGGGTGTTTCACTTTAAACGATCGTAACTTTTTTAAATACTCATCGGATTTAATCGAAACAAGCTTGGCTGACGCGCACTACTGCGCGTATGGTTGAACCTATGGTAATGGTACTGCGCTGACAGGATTCCTGTATTGACCCCGAACACTTCGCCCGATTACAATTTTTTAGAATACGGCCTATTTCATTATGATTCTCCTATTTAATGAACGTTTGCTAATGTCTGGTGCTTATCACATTTCTAAGAAACACTCACCATCCGTTGGAAATAGGACAGCTTAGCGGTTGAAAGACTTTTGATGGTAATAACATCGATATCATGGTGATATATCCTCACATTTCTCACATCCTAGTACTTCCGTTGAGCAGCTTCTTTTAATTTTCGTCGAAACTCGAGAGCTTAGCGGTCGTAACCATATCGCTAAGGGATAGAATACTTGACTCAGCCTCTAACCATTGTTCCTTGGGCACCGGTGCTGAAGTTTATCAGTTGGTGGGTGGCAGGACGTGATAACAGCTTATCAGCTTATCAGCTGTTATCACGTCCTGCCACCCACCAATAATGTTCCCATCCTCCCCCCTATCTAACTTCTTGGAACCCACATCCCGTCGTCGCTGTGGTCCGCGCTATGGAGCTGGTGACCCTTCCTTTTTAAGGCCCCTTGTGGTATCTTATCAGCTGTTATCACTTCCTGTCACCCACCAATAATGTTCCCATCCTGCCCCCTATCTAACTTCTTGAAACCAACGTCCCATCGCTGCTGTGGCCGGTGTTATGAATTAGGTAACTCACTCTTTTCAAGGCTCCTCGTGGTATCTTATCAGCTGTTATCACTTCCTGTCACCCACCAATAATGTTCCCATCCTGCCCCCTATCTTACTTCTTGGAACCAACGCTCTAGTCTTGCTGTGACGCGCGTTATGAATTTGCTGACTTCGCCTTTATACGGCCCCTTATGGTATCTTATCAACTGCTATCGCTTCCTGCCACCCACCAATAATGTTCCTGCCCGACCTCCTACATCATCTTATCAGTTTGAGCGCATTATCGCTGTTTTGAAGGAAGTTATGAATTTCCGGTCAAACACACACACAGACAAACATTCACACACACACACCAACAGACAAACTTAGCGGATTATATATAGTAGGATAGGCACCATTCGAATCAGCACACTTTTGCCAATGTGACAGCAGTCGAGAAATCCCATCAAAGTAAAAAACTGGGTGGTCGAAAATTCACGAAATCCACTAAGGCTTTTTTGCCTGGTCCTGATTGATGAAGTATTTTCCAGCAAGGGAGTTCTGAAAATGTTAGAAAAGGTGATAGTCGGTTGGCGAAAGGTCTGAAGAATATGGCGGGTAGAACTTCAACCCCCAATTCGTTCAATTTATGGATAGTGATTTGTGAAACGTGTGGGCGGGCGTTGTCATGCAAAGGAATCGGACCCTTTCTTTTGATAAGTGTTGGCTGCATCTGACAAAATTTTCGGTACAATTCGTCGATTTCTTCACAGTAGGGTTTGGCCTGGTGATAAAAAGTTATAGTGGATCACACCAGCCGATGACCACCAAGCCGTGACCAGAATCTTTTTTCGTGAGGGTTCGGCTTTGAAAATTACCTCGGTGGTTCGTCGAAATCCAACCACTGTCCGGAACGTCTCCTGTTATCATACATGACCCATTTTTCATCACAGGTGACAATTCGGCCCAAAAACAGGTCGTTTCTGCTGCGCAAAAGCAATGCAGAAGGAACCTCGAGACGTGCCGATTCCTGCCGGTCACTCCGATTGTGGGGCACCCAATTGTCGAGTTTTTTCACCTTCCCAATGCGTTCCAGACCATCTGCAACAGTGGATTGCCAAGGCCTAGCTCTTCTGCTATCTCTCGAACTGTTTGGGATGGGTCAGCCTCCATCCCCTAAAATCCTCGTCCGCTATGAGGTTCATCTTAACCGCTATGAGGTTCATCTTCAAGGCTGAAATCTCCAGAACGAAATTTGTTGAGCCATTGCCGCACAGTGCTTTCTCTAGCACTATTGGGCCCCACCTGGTTAATTTGTTGAGCTGTTTCGATTGCGGATTGCCCCAATTTATAGTCGAAGAAAAAAATCGTCCGAAGTGCTCTTTTCACATGCTTGAAAAAATCTTGAAAAAAGGGGGTTTATCGAGCAATGGTGAAACGGCAATTAGGATTATGTCTATCTGTAGCGGAACTTTGGGCGATGTTGTGGAGCTTTTAAGGAAGGGCACATTCGATCAAAACAATTTCTGGTATGAATATGCTTTTCTTTTTCCGCAGCAGATAAAGAGGACGAGTCAGATAAAGAGGACGAATTTGTAATCATCGTCCGGTACACATCTCACTTAGAACGGGCACTTTGACTTACCTTCCTTCCATGGCAGCCGCACGCCCCTTCGGCTATAGACGTGTCAACATTTATTAGTTGGAGTAATAGTTACCCCATATTCGCACAATCCATAGGGAGTGATGAGGTTGTGCGCATCCTGGTAATCAATGTTTTTCTGAGAGTGAACCAAGCAGGAGAAAGAGTTCGTTGATTGCGCCGTAGGGTGCCTCCCTCCACCGTACAGAGGAGTAGAGCGAAATACGTCAAAATTAAATATTTAATCTAGTTTGGAATAAATTGTACGAAAAGTCCCAGCAACACCATAAGTTTTGCTTTTTTCAGAAAGGCTCGAAAAAGGAGTCAAAGGAAACGCCTAAGGTGAGTGTGGACAGACCATTTTCGATAGAAAAAATATCAAATGTTAGCAGTGCCGTGTATATCCCGACGGCTTACAGTTGAGGAGCCGAGGAAGGGATGAGTTTAGAAAAATATCAGACTCTCCCATGGTTTCCGGAACAGCTTACTTACACTTATTACCGGAAAAATTCTCGAAAACTTTTGCCAATTTTTTTGAAACTGCCAGAATTCTCCGGCGCTACACAAGCGAACACCCAAGCGATATGCGAGGGCAGTTTCAAGTCAAGGCGCAATGTGGTTACGGTCTCGACGGTTCGAAGGAAACCCAGTTGATATGAAGACAATCAGTAATGAGACATTTCCGACAAATTCGAACGAACTGTGGTTTCAGAATTTCAGTTCCGAATGTACTGAGCTCGCACTTGCTTCGTTCACGATAGGAAATCGTCAATATACCCTCTTAGCTTCTCATGGCACCTTTGACTATCCAACATGACGGCCAAAGACAAGTAGATTCTGGGCGAACCTGCCCTACAGGCGGTAGTGGCTTAGCCCCAAAATACAGTAATACAACCGGTCAAAACCGAACCTCATTAAAAATGAGCCTATGATATGTATGTTGGTGGAGTGCGAGCGAACACCATCTCACGTGTACTGGAACATCTTCTGGTTAGAACCGCAGCCGAGACAGAACCCTACCGTCATAAACTTGGTCGGGTTGTCAGTAGCCATGAAGAAAAGGAAGCCTGATTACTTTTCTCGGCCATGCAAAGGAAAAGACCACGGTGTCACGGATAAATGGTCCCTCGCACTCTTCGCAATCACCCTATAGACCTGACCTCCCGCTAACGATTTCCGCCTATCACACTTCGTATCCGTCTTCCTTGAGAAGGTCTTTCGAGAAGATCTTACGTTGACCGGCGAGATCTCATAGCCCACACCTAATCTCTCTTATGGTCTTTCTTGAAATGAGCGAGACAGACGTCTTGTAGTTTTTTCTGCATTGCTGATATGTTATAAATACAGGTGAAACCAATCAAAGGAAAATCCAAAATTACATTCGAAAGGGTCAAGGCATCGCAAATTATGGGCTAGCCTTGAAGACAGTTCCCGCGATAAAGTGTCATGGATAGTTGCTGTTTAGTTACGAAACAGTAGCTGATAAGTAATCTCTGAATAAGAAGAAAAAGCAAGAAGAGTCCGCAAGAACACCATAAAAAATCGCTCCCCTGACAGTCACACCGCCCTGCGGTCCTTGTGCAGCCCCTGGCTCACAAATCGCTTTTTCGCATCTCTCAGTAGGTATCATCCAATGCGAAGAAAAGAATACGAAAAACAACAAAAACACGGACGAATTCTTTTGACAAGAGAAACTTTCAGAAAATCGGTGTACGAATTTAGGGTTACGGTAACGTGCATGTTTTAGTGCGTCGAGCTTTTGCAACAAGGAAATTGCATCACTCGTGATTTTCACGCGTTTTACTTTGCAAGATGGATTGCAGTTGACTGTATGGAATATTTATGGGCACGAGCGTGGTCAGCAAAAAGGACATGCAATTCCGATTAATGCCCGCCGCCCCAACAAAGAACAACTGAGCGGCCCTCCGTCAGAGGGCATCTAGCAAGTGGGCGGTCCAACTGAGGCGGGCGTTAGAACTAGAACTTTCCTGTAGCTCGCTCCTCGTCCGCTGTGCAGTCACGAGAGTGGGACAGTTTCTTAGCTAGGGGGATGGACTACTTGCACAAGGAAGGACGACCATGAATTACGAGCGCGGGGGGGTGTCTTTAAAGATCACCGAGATGCAACTCCACGCATTGACATGCGACTGAAGCTCACTGGCTGAAACAGAACTATCTCAAAGGAAAATCGCAGAAACTGTCCTCAGTTAATTGTTGAACTCATGCTCAGAAGGAAAAATAGCGAGAGGATAAGGTCGTAAAAACATGTCAACTGCGACGGGCCACTTCCAGTGAGCCATGTTGCCAAATGGATGCTACAGTAGAACTTCTGGTTCAGTTAAAGTAAAATGGAGTTTTTCAGAAGGGAAAAGAATCAGCGGCTGCTGTAGATAAGGAAAGCCATGAGAAAGTTAGCAAGGTAACTATAAATATTTCTGTGGAAAATAAACAGAATAGCGGGAACGCGCAAATTTTCACTACATTATACATCCCTTACCAAGGCAAATCAATAGTTGGGGATTTTGGTCGAGCCCTTACGAGCCATCCCACCCTAGGAGGTGGCTTCACACGATCCCTCCCTCCCCCACTCTACCTACCACTTAGATTTTCCCAACTTCCTACCAGTTTTTTCGGAACTTTGCGAAAAGTCACCGGAACAACCAAAAACGTTTCCCAATGCCGCAGATTTCTCTAAGAAAGCAAATACGCCCCCCCCTCCTCTTCCAACAACCCACAAATACGACTTTCCCCATTTACAACGTCCTTGAAACAAAAATCAACTATCGAGAAAAAATTCCCCAACCTAAAGACGACGCCTCACTCCCTCTATATTGGGCAATCCCTAACAACGATGTGCCCTGGTCCCAGCAATGATGTGCCCGGTCGGTTACTCTGTTCATATGAGAAGACTCATTTCAACAGGAAAACATCGCCAAGGAAAGTGCGGAGCCTGCGAAGGAAAAAGAAACTCAGGACAAATTAAAGGTGCGGGATTTTTCCGTTTTGTAACCGAGCTTTTGAAGGGGCGGGAAGACACACTGGACAGACAGGCTGAGGTTGATGGCTCTCAAAACACTGCTTTTACGTCCCTACATTTGAAGTTAAAGACACATTGTACGCTCACGCACATTGAGGGTGTATGTGACTATCAGCCCCCCAGCTGTCGATGTGTCGTGGTTTCCCGCCCGAAACTGCACGGGGTTAGAGTACAGGGCCGTGGGAAAGTCTAATTCGTTCGTACTCCGCCCAAAATGTAACTTGCGGGACTTCCTTTATGCTAACAGCACTTAAAGTTCATCTCAGAAGCTCACACCCTTAACGTTCAGCTAGAATGGAGATCTCAGAAGCTCACGCCCTTCAGCTAGAATGAAGCTGAATAAGATGGCTAAAATCGCCCGTTCATTTTCAAAAAAAATTTTTTCTCGGACCTTTTTTGGCATTCCCAATACCGTTTAGCAAAAATGAACCCCATCTGTGTGGTCCTTGCATGGACCCCTACAACATGCAACAAACCGTTTTGAAAAAGCTCACCACGGCCTGAACGACATCCTTGTCAGCAGCACCTTGGGTGCCAGCTGCTATCCTCCCCTAGATACATGAAATCGCAGTCAGATGAACGCCGTGGTCGAATGCAGGTAATAAAGCGGTCCGTCTCTACGTGTTTCCCTAAGAATGTGCGAGGAATAAAGCACCTGTACATCTTTGACGGGTGATCCATCCAAGCCACAATCCCATAGAATAAAAGGGTCGGTTCAATGCTGCCGTTGCGCCATATTTACCACCTCATCGTGTCTTCTCTCAGAACCAATAAAGACTTTTTCCTGAGAAAGGGGCCGCTCAAAGAATTTTTGCAGGAACAAGAAACCTCTCATCCTTCCAAAGAGGAAATCGCGAAGGTATCTAAGGTCAGGTAGTCACAGTTATCAAAAAAATTGTTACTTAACGGTACATTCTAGGATGGGCCCTATGTAGGTACTGAGGGTAGTTCGTAAACGTAGGCGATCTAGAAATTAAAATCGGGAGAAACTGCTGAAATGAGGCGTGGAGGGCGGTCCTCCCGTGAGGAAGCGGTCTTTCTGAGACATAGAGTTTCATCAAGTTCCCCTTATCGTCAAAGGACCCTTCTTGATGAATCAATTCACCTATCGCCTGCTCAGGTAGGTGGCCCCCCTTAACACTAGGTTCTTTGTCTCTATTATGTGGCATACCCAGCTTGTTGTGCCTTATACCTTCTTTGAGTTCCAAGGGTATTTCATGGGTACCGCAACCAGGGGATACTTACTATAACAGTTTCATCGCATTTGTGATTTGCGCAACACAAAGATCGATGTAAGTTCTCAACTTGTTTTGTGCCTTACGAGGTTGATAGGTGGAACTATTTATTCAATATGGCCTAACGTTTCGACTGAATCGTCGTCGAAACGTTAGGCCATATTGAATAAATAGTTCCACCTATCAACCTCGTAAGGCACAAAACAAGTTGAGAACTTACATCTAAAATGCCGAGGTTGCAAGAGAGAAGCTGGAGAACAAAGATCGATCATTTTTCATCGTTCTAAATCTGAGAATGCCTATGATTAACAAAGCACTGAGTTCCCAAGAGGCGGTCGTCGTGTTGGTACTGGAGTTGACGACCTTGGCAGCACAAGTCATTTGTATTTACAGGAGAAAGAAGCACCACAAAGGAGCCCTACTCCTGAAGAAAAACTATTGATGGTGAGAACTTGCGGAAATACGAACTAGACGGTGCTGATGAAATTGCAGTGACACTTTTAAGGAGTGGCGAAACTCTCGAGAAAAAGTAAAGGACGTTCAAGAGAATAAATCGAAGGTAAATTTCTGGTGAAAAACGGTGCTGCTATAGTTAAAGGCAGTTAGGCACGATAAATCCCCCAAGACGACTAGGATCAATACTCCTGGCAGGATAGAATTCCGCGACCCTGGGCAGGCGCTGCATAGCGGTTTCCCCGAGGAAGGTGCCCTTATAAGGGCCCTATCAAGCCACAACTTTACGTCCCAAACGCCCGCCCGCCCGCCCACAAATGGACGACCGTTCCTGACGCTCGTATTCATTCATTTGCTAAGCAAATTATGAAGCGAAGGGATTGGTATGAAGCGGCCGTGATGCTGCATGCATACATGGGTACACATATGCATCATCACGGGAGTAACTTCGCCGGTAGCGGTGATTGGTAGGATGCCTACTGGGAAAACTGTTCTCAATATCGGATTTTCAAGTCACTGAGAACGGAGGCTTTTTATTCGCAGGATTTTGACCGCTTCGCTCCGTTCTTTCGCCATTTCCCGCTATACAGCGCCCTACTAGCATTTTAGGCTGATAGAAAACCATGATGAAACTGCTGAAAAAGGCCATACGGTGACGCTTGATCACTTACTCTTCACTAAAGCTCCCTGTGTAAGAGCGCAGGAGCGATCAGATCAGCCGGGGTTCCACCAAGTGCGCAGACGGAGCAAACACTTCGCGTCTTCCTCCTCGTCTGTCCTCCTCATCGAATCATATCACACCAGCGCACTCTGAATTTCGGTCGATGCGTAGACTCCCTCTTTTTTTTCTGTTTGGAGTAGTGTTGGTACTACATAAGAGGAGCCCTCTGTCCGTCCTCACTCGAGTTCAAACTTACGGATTTGGGGGGGGAATGCAAATGGAAAAGGAGAAGCGCTGAAGATACTGGTCCCCCACCTATGTACATTCTCAGAGTTAGACTAACAGTACGCATGAACAGGAATCTATTATCACGAAAAGTTAACCACCACTATCTCGAATGAAGAAATAAATGCGACCCCCCCCCTTCGCCAACAACGAGCATGACGACCCGCCAACGCCCTGTGAGAGCTTGAGAAAAACAACTATGTAATAAATTTTCCCAGCCATTATACGACTCAACTTCTCCTAGAGGGCAAATACACCTCCCCTGTTAGGTATTCCAAAACCCAACATAACGATGTGCCCTCTCCCCCACCCATCCTCAACAACAGCTAATGCGCTGGAGTAGAAGCAAATCATTATCAAATTCTGTACACGAGTTGTGAGCTTTGAACAATTCATTTATTTGTTCAGGATGACGCACACGAAATCTAGTAAAAGCCACTGAAGCTCAAGTGTAAAGAAAAACTGAAGTGAAATTCCACATTCGCATGCCTATCATATTTTTGTTAGTTGATTAGACTTGTGGTTATTTGAAATCGATGTTTAGAGTGTAATAATTAAAGTTTTGAATGAGCTCCTTTCTTTGTATAGTGCACACATTAAAGTCATCGTTGGCACTATTCCATGAGGAGGTTTTGATGCGGGCCCACCAAGGCAGTTACCGTATTCACCACAACAAACAATAACGGAAATATCGTGAAATAGGTCTGGAATAGCACCTTCTCCGTTCGCAAAAAGCCTCATCCGTTTACATCAAATCGCAGAGCTGGAGCAGAGATATCCTCGGGATAATATGATCTCAGGAAAGGTACACTCCTCATCCCTGAAAAGGAGCAGGCATTTGACCTTGGAAAATGGGTTTCTCGTGGTTTTTTCAGTTTGAGAAAAATGCCATTTAGAAACTGTTCTGTTGGACCGATTGTGTCAAAATGAAAATATTTCACCAAAACACAGCCACCGCCCTCGTTCAGTTTAAGTGCGCAGCCACGCCTACCAAAACTCAAGGATTTCGAGTATATAGCGACGGGAAACCGTTGTCAGAGAGGAGTTAGAGGTAGACCAATATTTTCTTCTACCCAGTACACGCTTTTATCCACACGCTGTCTGAAGTAGCCCTTTCTGCAACCGAATCCGAGCTTCTCTCGCAACGCCGCGATACTGACTGTGAGAGCCTCACCGACTTGGCCCGTTAGTGAGCTACAGAAGTTTGTTACCACCTGGAAAGCCGCTTGCAAACCCGGTCAGGGACGGGGAAGAGTAGAACGTGGGACAAAATTTGCAGAGCCCACATGAAACAAGCTAAGCTTCGCCACCCATCGTGGGCGGGGCGTGGAGCTTAGGCAGCGTTCAGGATTGAAGCGCTACGTAGCGCGACGTAGCGCCACAATTGTGCCAAACTCCAGCTTCCCTTTATGTTTTTTCTTTCTAAATTCAACCCCTTTCTCTTTGTTTCTCATGTTTATCTGATGCTGAGCTCCTCTTTTC